GCAATCATGCTTACACGTAACACATTAACCATTTGGTTGGCAAGTACACAGTGAAATACACACACCCACACAGAAATGTTTTATTGTATGCTATGTACGGGTTGACACCCGTACACTGTACAGCATTGCAGACTTCCAAAAAAAAAATCTGCTCTGATGAAATTCAACTTGTACATCTCATAGTCATATGGGAAACTATGGCCAAATAGCTACTGAATATTTAACTTCATTATTACATGGTTATTTCTACTTACATTATGGGGCTTACACAAATCTCAGACACACAGACACAGAACAGAGATACACAGAACAACACGAAATTGAAACGTGTTGAAACCAAGCAAAACGAAATACAAACAGAACGTAAACAAAACAGCGCCCCCTATTGTCAGGCAAATGTTTACCTTCTTGTTGTTTTTTTGTCTTTTTTAAGACCGAACAAAGGGTTTTAAACCGAGTATAGTTTACAACCCGTCCCGTGTACTCATCGATCTCTTCTGTAAATTTGGCGCTATTTGGATCGAAACTGACGGAGCCTTTCACAAACATACATACATACATACAACATTCGCCAAATTATAGTAAGATACTGTCAACCGAAGAAAAACGAGACTATAGCGCGTTTCAAGTTTAATATGCGTGTACAAGGTGACGAAACACTTGAGAAATTTATCACCGATGTGAAGACGCTATCTCAAACGTGCAACTTTGGGCATCTAGCTGACTCCTTAGTGCAAGATAAACTTGTATGCGGTGTAAAAGACCAGCGTCTGAGAGAAAGGCTATTGAGAACTCCTGAGCTAACACTGGATAAAACTATTGAGCTAGCTAGAGCAGCAGAGCTCACGAAACAAAATGTAAGCACTCTAGATGGAGGTGCAGCTGCAGAGGCAGCAGTACACAAAGTGAGGTATACACAAAGGAAGGTGTACCGTACTCCAGACTACAAAGGTAGAAAGGGACACCCTCACAAGGAAGAGAAACCAAACACTAGAGAATGTTTGTACTGTGGCAAGACACATGTACTGAAACAAGAGCTATGTCCTGCCTATGGATCTGCTATGTCCTGCCTATGGAGCTCCTGCAGAAAATGCCACAAACCGAACCACTTCGAGGCAAAATGTGAAAGTCTGCACAAGGGGAGAAACCAGCCTCGCTGGAATAGTAAAGGTGCGAGACAGCATATCAACGTAGTTATGGATGATTACGATGTGGAGAATTATCATGAGCTCCTGGTTAATTGTTCATGAACAACCTCGCAAACGACGAAACCTATAATTCTGTGCGGGCGTCAGGAGAAATCCTCCCCTACCGACCGACCTGTCGCCTCCACCAATCGCACCAATCGCAGGCAGTCCTCCCAAAAGACCACCACCCGAGTTAAAGACATCGACACGCACTCCAGTGGTTGTGTCGAGATGTGGCAGGAAGGTTTACAAACCGGTCAAACTTAATCTGTGAGACGTACAGTGCTAGGATGAACCAATCATTATTCAAAGTAGCAACATGACAAGTTAATTCGAGTTCATTTTACTAGAAAGTTGTGTTTAGATGAGTCAGACAGTTTGAAGCATTGCAAGACTGATTTAATTTAATGTACTCAAGATAAAGGGTATATTTCACTTCTATAGAAATCGGAAGCGAGATTTTCTTGTCAAGACTCTGTAATGTTTGTTTGTTGAGTAACGGTCAACGGTAATTAGTTTGAAGTTTGTTCTTTTATAAAGAAGAAAGCATGTAACAATATATAGCGCTCATGCATAGCGTTGACTCTGGCTAAGTTTAGAGGATCCGATATATAGGAACAATACAACATGTCTCCGCTATTCGTAATAAATCCAGTTTACAGTTAGTTTCATTCTCACTCTTATCTGCTATTGATTCTCTCCTCATTAAACTAAAGATTTGAACACACATGACTGTACATGAGTGTAGATCAGTCTAGTACATATGGCGTGCGATAGATGGCGGAATGAGGCTATATCCATAGCATTTGCCTACGACTTTGGTTGCAGACGGATCGGCCGGCTATGACCGGGTATAACCCGCATAACGGTTAGACTCGTACCCGCTCGACAGTTCCACACGCTTCAGTGTAGCGAACGATACTTGCCCGAGTCAAGGTGCATGGCGAACGTGTACCACTCTAGCTATAACCGCCCCAAACTTCATCCAGCGCGAACTGCAAGAGAAACTGAAATTGGAACTAGCCTATCTGCAGACAGCATCATGCAAGCACCATCATAACGTTACTGTCAGTGCTATATGTGTTCATTGGTGTGTTGATTGACCATCTTTTGTTTCCAGGTAGCTGTAACTGTAATAGTAATACTGTATAGAACATTGACGATATTTCTGTGGTAATGGCGATATTTCTGTGCTACTTGACATGTGCCTTCACAGACGATTTTGCCCGTCCTCAAGTATGCCGTTAGTCAATTATGAAGTATTCCGTAAGTATTGTTCCATATGCGTTCTTTCTGTGTCTTCATTTTCCTCGTGGGGCATGTCGTCGCGCAATGTCTCACAATTGAACGACCGTCCAATGTAAAGCATATAGGCATACAGTGCTAACATATATTACGATATATTGCCATGTATTTGTAACTCTCACTTGCTATATCCGTTACTTGTCACAGTGACGTTAAATTGTTACCATTGCTGATATCACTGACATGCTCAAATAAATGCCTCAAATGCTACAAGACGGTGACAATACATTAGTACATATGTTAGTGACGAGTAAATTTAAACTAGCTGTTACCATAACAGATCAAAAAAACTTTATCACCCATCGTACTAGCAATAAATTCTTACCATGTGTTCATTATGCTACTGAAGAGTTGCTTTAAATTGTTAGCATAAACTATACATCACTATATCTAATTGGGAAATATCGTCATTTAACTGTAATCACCCATGGTCCCAATAAATTCTTACGATATCTTAATCATCTTGTATCTTGTATCTTGGTACCCTCTCTTGTATTTCACAAGGCACTCGATTGTATGAGGTGCGGGGATTATCTAGAGAAAAGGAGTTTACCTTCCTCAGCGGGGGTGCTAGCTGTGTCCCTCGCTAAAATTGCGGACTGTTTGCTGGCAGCTATGGATCCGTGCGCCGGCTTATGCATTCGGCGCACGGATCCATAGCTGCCAGCGCTGCATACTGTCGTAGGACGTTCCCGCGGTCGCGTGCACCTTGCCGCAGAACTGCGCGCAAGATCTGCGCTCAGCGCTTAGGATCAACACCTCCTTTCGGCAACACTTCTCTGGTATCCTGTCTCTCTGGACTAACAACATTGCCTGTTGTAGTACACTGCTTGGTTGAATTGTATTTCTCAAAAGTTAGTGGAGGCCAGCAGTTTTCGAAACAGCATGATCCAAGACGCACACCCTTTAAAGCCATAATTACGAAAATTCGCCAGTGTTTTCCCCACTTTCATGATACCTACCGTTATTATATCTTAGTGTTTTTAAAGTTGGTGTAATCAGTGATATATCCACTGTGAGGTGAGACTATATTTCGCTGTTTTTTCGGATTGAGCGTTTCTGAGCAGTATTTTCATAATAAAAACTTTAACTATAACGTCCGCGTCGTACCTGCAGCAGGAAGGCTATCTTTGACTCGCTGTCGCAGCTGCGCTCGACCCGCCTGAGCGCGCGCAGCAGCGTCTGGTAGAGGCTGTGGTCGTCGCGGCGGCGAGCGTTGTTGTCGAGTCGCTGGCAGTCGCGACAGCGCCCCATCACGCGCGTGTTTGCTGACAGCTCATAGTCCGCCTCACGCAGGTGGCGCCCGCAGCCGCGGCACTGGTGCACGTCTGCCTGTAGTGCGGACGCATCCTGCGGAACCTGCCCGAACAACATACATTATTATTATTATTAAATCTTTATTGCATATGTAATTCAAATACAAGTACCTGTACTGAAGGTGGTACATAGGTGCGTCGGCTCACGATTCAGCATTCGCTAGATGTGGCGTGCGTGTTGATCTAATAACTGAATTGTGGGAATTTCCTTATGTCAATCGACCACCATATTGGTTGTTTGTTCAATCAAATTACCAGCATGGACAATGAGAAATGCAGTGAGAAGGTTGCACGTTGTTTCAATGCACGTTGTTGTACTGACAAGCGTGAAATTTCTTCTCCGTTGAACAATGCAAGAGCAGGGTGACCACATTCGTTAGTGTTGACGTGATGGGGCAATACACCGTCAAGCGAGCTGTAGATAATTCTGACTTCTTGAATTCGAGTGGCTGGTGGCACCAACACCCCCCCCCCAGCCATTGCGTAGGGGTTAAGATTGACATCATGGCTATGAACAAACTTGGCTGATGTTGATCAGTGTGGTTTACACTCACGCATACCTTCAACGTCTTAACCACACCAGGGTTGAAATCGGGATTCTTGAAGTACTGGAGGAATAGTGTTGCTATGCGCTTGCGTAGACCAAGCAGGTTCTCTTCCTTTGTGCGCCGCATGATGAGATTCGCCTCCCTGTCGACCAGGTCTATGATCTCCCTGGTTAGCTTACAGTCATGTTCCTGTGTCACATCATATATTTATATAGTACGTCACATGTTAAATGTGTGGCATTACAGTCGTGTTACCGAGTCGCGTTATTGTCACATGTTCACCACATAGCATTAGTCATGTTCCCGGGAAAACATCAAATTACGCCTACCACAAGTCTAAAATGTCATAACTTTTTGTAATCCTGATCAAACAGACTTGTTTGTTTTGTCTGTTTGATTATGCCCCCCCCCCCATTTTTGTTTTATTCAATGAAATTGGAAAATAACCTAACCAAAAGATATAACCACTATTTGAGCATACATGTACCAAAATATAGCCCCTCACAAGTATCTGGCTAAATTTGCACCTCTTGAGGAGCTTCAACCCACCCCCGGGAAAATGGAAGAGTCCGGAGACTCGAGATGAGAGAACAATGAGTAGGGTGTGATTGTGGCCATTCCACATGCTGACGCCATTTTCACAACCAATTAATTGTGTTATTCTCATCTTTTATCATTTTAGTTAAGCTTCTTTTATATAATGAATGATTTGCTATAAGAATGTTTATGAATGACACTTTTGAGATTATGATTGATATATGTTATTTCACAAATGAGAGATAATTTGAGAGAGAAATACATTCAGAACGGAGTTGTAGTGCAGATAGTATTACTGTTGTGTACTGTAGGTAGGATGGAGTTGTACTTGCGTACTGTAGTTGTGTTACTGTAGCGTTACTACTTACTTATGTGTTCACATAGTAATTGGTTTATGATTAGTGTTGGAGATATTGAAGGTAGTTTAAAAGTAACAGGTATATATAATAATGTAGGTTTTTAAACTTCAGTAAGTGTATTCATTATTTCATAGGTTGTAATGGTTGAATCACATGCATCACACTCTCTATAATTATAGCCATGTAGGATAACATGGATATAACACGAGTTACTGTATATGAATACATGGTGAATAGATATAGTGATTTGATATGTATTATCAGAATGTGAGCAGCGTTCACGTAATTTAAATCGGTTTATTATCGGATTAGTTGAGGAATAAGACTTATTACGAATGCATATAGAAGCATTAAGGCCTTGTGAATAGAACTTAGGAGGAAGCCTAGCATATGAAAAGATTTGTAGTTTATGTCATTAGTTTGATTTATTGGTCAATTTAAGACTGAAGCATGAACAAGTTCTTGTTACTTTGAGGTTCATGACTGTTTGTACATTTATTACTCTTTATGATTATGAATGTTTTGGTTATGGTGACAATTATGAGAGTAATAAAAAGTGGCCATTCCACATGCTGACGCCATTTTCACACCAAGTAATTGTGTTCTTCTCATCTTTTATCATTTTAGCCCCCTGTACCCGTATAGGGGTGTTACATTTTGCACAACATTTTATTTCAATAGTTTTATTTTGAGATTTTAGATTCTTGATAATGACAAGAATTTGTTTCACAAATCTAGCCCTGGACCATGGTAAAATTGGGGAAAATGTGACACGTCCTGGATCACACAGTTGATATTTTAGACGTCTTCCTACTGGGATAAGGGCGGCAATACAGTCTAAAAGCGAAGGGACGTACCTTCACCGTGTGCTTTAGCGTGAGAAGCACGTCAAGTCTCTCGTCCTGCGTCAGATTCGGCATGCTGATGCTGGTGTAGATGTCCCTGAGCTCCCGTGCACGCAATGTGAGCGGGGTGTCCATGCTTGTGAAGCGGCCGTCTGCCGACTGCCATCTTTTCGGCGACGCAGTCTGTGATTGGAAATAAAGAGCTGAGATGGTGACGCGCATTAGTTGAAGCCAGTCGAGTTGAGCTGTGTATGACGAACTGGGTCACATCGGCAACAGTTGAAAGACAAAAAGGTTGAAAGAACAGTTGACAAAAGCCTTTAAAGCCTTATGATGCAGGGATAAACAGAGTGGACGGACCCGATCGCAGATTTTCTTGCCAATTTACTGCACGGCGCTGCATGATGTTATCTTTCTCACACAGGAGAAAACCGAACCGAACCTTTTCAATGAAGGACTCAATCATCTTGGCTCTGTTCGTCTCATCCGCAAGCTGCTTGTATTGTTCCACCGTTGAGAGGAGTTGAGTTTCCTCCTCCAAGAGTCTGCACAGCGCGGCCTTTCTCTCTGCCCCAGACCGGATTGCACTAATCTTCTCCTCCTTGTCCCGTCTCCAACCTGAATGCAGGAAGATGACAATCCACCTTAAACAAGACCTCATCTCAAGAGAGATCATTCGCACAATAAAACACTCATGGGAGATATCACATAAGTTATCATAGGAACCTTTCTTTCGCACCTAAAATTCTGGTAAGGTCAACTAGTTCTCCCAATATTGGCTCTGTTTGTATACAACTGTTTATGTGATTATTTAATTAATTACCAATATAACAGTCGTGGAACTGAACCCATATCTATACACACTGTAGTGTTTGACGCTAGTACATCCTCAACTCAACTGACGCTGTCAGTAAAAATTTAACATGCGCAATCACAATTCGGCTTATCACGAAGCAGTATGACAGCAAACGGATTAGCTCACTCTCAAGAGCTGAGAAGATCAAGTCAAAATCGGACTTCTTCCCAGGATGAACACGCCTCTCGTACTCTTGCTGGAGTCTCTCCTGCTTCTCCTGCTCCTTGCGTCGTGTCTCCCCCTTATCCCACTCCACACTGAAGTCGCGATCTCGCCTCATGCCTTCAACCTTTCGGCGAGCCGTCATACGTCGGAAATACTTCTGGATGATAATCACCTGCGCAAAATGTTTGCAGGCTTTCAAGTATTTGTAGTACGGCATTTTGGCATTAAGATAGAGACATGGGGAAGTCCGACATATTACCCAGGCAACGGTTTGGGCAATGAACTCAGAAGCCATTAGCTACATAATTAAGAACACCCGTAATGCAGAATGGACAGGGGACACATTAACTTCAACAAGAATGCGGAGGGCTGTAACAAACAAACGGTCATTAAGCGGACAATGGCCACGAGTATCGGCACTCCGGCCGGTACAAGCGGACGGGCGTCGCGACCGGTCGTTGTGGTCACTAGTCGTGCCACAAACTAGGAAGTCTGTTTAGGTCGCGACGAACGCGCGTACGGTTTAAAAAGGAGAGATTTTGAGAGAAACAGAGAGAGTCACCGACTACAACTTGGTATGTGTATTCACTGTTGCTATTCGTGTTTAGAATAAAACCTATAGTTGTTTACCGTTTACATCTGCTATCTACGTCTACTGTCTACGATACGGCATTCCACGCTATACATATTCCTTTTTCCTACTTTTTGTCTTCCCTCCTACTTTTCCTAATTTTTCCCTGAAATTCGTACTTTTTCTTAGTTGTTTTCCTAATTTTTTGTACCAAAATATCGTAAACAAAATTCTCAGTCATTCAATATTATTGATGACGATGTTACACTCTCTCATACGTAAATCACAAAGGGAAGGGTTTGGGGTAATGAGTAGTCACTGCAGATCCCAGGTGGTGTACATACCTCTTTGGTGCACACCACAACTTTACAGGAGAATTCTATTAGTAAGTATGAGTAAAAACTACTTCTGAAAGCCCGCATAAGTCCTACTTTTCTTCTAATTTTTCCAGCAAAATCCTACTTTTGTCCTGTTTTTTTTTTTGTAAATTTTTTTACTGGGTCTGCTTGAAAGCTTGCGTTTTACGTCTCGCTGTGACAGTGATCATTGGCAGAAACGCTAGCGTAGATAAACCGCAAAGCAAAGAACAGCGACACGATAATGCCACGACAATGAAAAACAGACACTGCAAGCCTAGAAATTGTGCCATTTTCTGTGGCCAACAAGGAATTTACATGCCGTCCCAGTAGAATGTTCTCCTAATATTTAGGAGCTGCATACATGTTCAGAAGTGAGGTTATCAGAAGACAGTTGCACATACCTTCTCTAGAATGAGTGCAAGGTATTCATCGCCCCTGAAGTACGGACCAGCTGTAATGACCTTGTCTTCTTCATCTGTTACGTAGACACCTGCTTTTGTCATCTGTGTTGATGTGGAGCATGTGGTCTGCTGCTGCTTCTGCTTGGTAGTGTACGTCTACGCAGACGAAATGTCACATTTCTGCATGAATTTCACATGCACACGAAGTGCATTGGTATAACAGCAGAGCATCCACTGTGTTGCAGCAACACATTATAGAGTAAGTATACATGGTCTCCATGCGATTTGTTCCATAAATACTGGAAGTTGATTCAAAATGATCATCTCTCAAATAAATCGAGAAATTAATAAAGGTAGAGAGAGAAATTTAGTCTAACCTGTTAGCATACATATCACTGATTACTTCAGCATAGCAATTACGAGTTTCTGCTGTTATCTAATATATATTTGAGTTCGTATGTATGTATCTTCCCTATAGGCGGCCAAACCGCCCAAGCGATCTGGATGCAATTTTCACAGGGCCATCTCTTATACCCGGGGAGTGTTCGTAGCTGAAAAAAACCTGTCAAACCGTGAAACTCACCAAAAAATACCGTGAAAAACCCCTCAACTCATTGCTTGGTATTGTGAAACGGCTGAAAGGCCAATCTATAAACACACCACACAGGAGGATGAGTAATTTCATGTTGCTCACTACGCTGATCCAGCTAGCCATGCTATTGTTGAAACGGCGAAACCAATACTAAACTAAAAACCACGCCAGTCAAACAGGTTGCAGCAGAAAGAGACAGAGACACGCAGTTGGTAGAGTTAAGGACTGTAAGCGTTTACTAGCTATATACTGAGGTTAGCCACGCTGTAAGCAGGAGTGAGTAAACATTCCTGTTATACGATTGCAATTTCCCTCAGCTCTCGCGTGGCCTGCATCTGTTATCCGCGGGAGTGTTTCCCTGTCACTGTTCTCAATAACCTGTCAAACCGTTCCAAGATCGTCTACCGGGAAGATCCGGTGAAAACCCAGTTATTGCGTGCAATCTCACAGCAATTTTAGCACTCACTCTGTGCACAGTGGCTGGCCAGCATGACAGAAAAAACCTTATGACTATTTCTTGCCCTCACCTGCATGATCTTCGTACAGCTGATGCTGCGTAAGTGAAAGGCGAACCGAAATCAGATACTGAAACCGAGCATAAACGCAGACCAGTTCAGAGGCTAACTACTCACGTCTGAGTTCAAGAGTTTTAGTTTGCCTGCGAATTCTCAGAATGCATTGTAGCGCATGTCCAAAGCTATGCATTTTCTGATTCAATAACAAAACATTTTGCTTAATTACAATGTGCATGGTCTGCACGCGCCAAGGCTTCACTCAAAGACCAATATCCAGATGAGACGGAATACTAGAGAAGCGTTGCAGCGATATAGAGGAGATGTTGATCACTAATTGCGGCTGAGAAGACGCAGATTTCTCCGGATTCCGCGGCTATCGAGGGCGCTCACGCACGACCGCCGGAACGTCCTAGCGTACGTATGCAGCGCTTGCGTGAAGCTGATGGATCCAGTGCGCCGAATGAATTGGCGGGCGCACGGATGGCCATAGGCCGCAAGCGAACAGTCGCGCAATTTTAGTGGGGGCGCGTGACAACTAGAGCGGTCATGACATTTGGGACCGTCAAGCACTGTTGAAACTTTGCTCATAAAAACTGGTCAACCGACGTAATCTGGTTCGCGTAACGCGGTAACTGTGTGACGCACGACAATCAGAGAACAGACGTTCGAACTTCTGGACATTCGCGAATCCTTGCCAGTAATAGCAAATCGGCTTGTCAAATCACGCAGCACCTACCGGCTGCTCTTCCGCAGCCCCAACGTGCAACGTTTTTGCAACGTTCCAATGCAGGCTCGTACGGGAGTGGAAAGCAGTGCTGCCGCCTGCCGCCGCCTATAGCCCTATAGACTGGCATCTCTGCGCAACCTCTCGGCTAGCTTAGTCACTCAATGGCTAATCGAGGTGGGAGGCGAGTCCTAGTCTATGTATAGCCTTTGCACGCTCGAAGCCTTCTTGAAAAGCAGAGTCAGGCGCTGATACTAAGAAACATGAAGCAATTTCGTAGTAAATAGATTTCGTTATTTAGTTAGCATTAAATATTTTATTGAAACGCGCTTCAAGTGCCTGTGTCTAGTATAGCCTTAACGAGGGTATTCTAACCCTAGAAAGAGCGTTCTGCTAGTCGTATTAGTAGTCGTAGTAGTACTCGTGGTTCAAGATAGAGAATACATGGCTTCCCAATATTATATGGGCTGCCGAATGCTCCAATGGCATGGGCAATAAACCAATGTCATTTACACTCAATCTAAAATATAATATTATATATCAATATAAATAGGTTAGCGGTTACTGGTTAGGGTTCGTCATAGCATCTAGTATCTATAGCGCAGCTTTACCATTAACTCGCCGCTGCAGAGCGACCGCATTCGACCGCCAGATAACGGCGCCAGCGGCAGTTAATGATAAGTGGCTAATAGTACTAGAGCTAGGTTGCGTCATTATTAGTAAGTTATGTTCACATACTAGTAAACAGAGTTAGTCCATTATTACTATTTATTAGCTCTGCGGTCCCCTGGTAGCTCTACTAGTACTGAGTACTAGTAGTTGCTGGTAACTTAGTAGTAGCTACTACTACTAGTACTATAGTTCAGCTAGTAGTAGTGCGGTCGGGTAACAACGCATCTTTTGCGGCAAACGCCATCTTTAGCACGGTTCTCTAGTGCGCCTAGTGCTCAGTCGCTAAACGAAGCTGATGTCAGTGTCGTTGCTGTACGTGTCGGGCCTGATCTTCGCTGCCAGTGGCTGGTAATATGCAAAAACGGCAAACGGGCGTAGGAGTCTGAGAGGAGATGCGAGCGCGGGTCACCCAGTTCATAAGGAGAAGGCATGGCTACGATAATAAAAACGCGAACGTCACGATTCGGGGAGGCTGCGCCGGTGTCCAATTGACTGCGTACGGACGTTCATCTACGCCCAAGTAATCTCTCGCTACACTAAAGTCTATAGTAACTCGAGCGTTACACAACTCTCGCATGGCGGCCGTGCTTCAGCCTGAATTCGCTTGAGTGACGGCGCGTTACCGACGGTCGTCCTCTCCATATGACAAGCTAGGCCCTTCATTCGAAGGCAGTGTAAAACGCAACGGTTCTGGCACTATAGCGGCAGGTATAGTGAATCCATATTCATTCGCGCTGAACAAGCAATAGTAACGCCTTAAGCACAGTGTGTGCGCGTATGAACGTTATTTTCTTTGTGAGGGGCATGTCGCAGACGTGAAGCACTTGAATGTAGTACCAGTTACGTGCAGAAGAATTGTATACGACTAATACTATACTGATTACTATTACCAGACTATAGTATTACGAAACTAATTGCCAGACGCGGTCCGGCTCACCTATGCAAGGAATCTGCAGCGCAGTACGACGGGCCTGCATATATATGGATTGGAGAAACATGCCAGTGGGTATGGTATGAATTGGAAAGAACATGTGCTCTAGCGGCTGCTATGCTCTGCTGTGCTATATATAACATGCTTGTAGTATGAACGTCATGATCCCAAACATCAGTCACATGTGGCGGTTCTTATACAGACAGTAGGGCTGGTGCTTTGCACATAACGCTCTACGGCGCAAGCAATGACATTCTCCACTGTAAACACTTGCCAGTAAATCTGTAGCCTGCCGTGTCCATTGCTGGTACGCGACGTTCATTAGCGCCAAGTATCTCTCGTAGAACCCCTAAAGTTAATAGTAACGTCGAGCGTTACAACTCGCACGGCGGGGGGCAGTCTAGAGCCTAATATGCGCCTTACTTCTGTGGCAAATCTCCTCGAAACATGCCCTCCAGAGAGACTTCGTCGCCCCATCTATGGGTTAGCGATAGTAAGCGAGAATGATATTCGAAGGGCGTAATAATTAAAAACAAATTCAAATCGTTTGTTCTAAGCAGAAAAGAAGCTAAACGGGCGCACCAAGAAACAATTCCAATTAGCGACCATTGGAGTTATTCTCCGCACTACGTTGGATAATCCTAAAAGTTGTCGCAAGCCCACACATCCTGAATTGACCGATAACATCACCCGTCCGCACGTCGCGATCTGATAGAACCCTTAAGGTCTATTGACAGGCGCAGCGATTGCGTTCTAAAAGGCGGCCGCAGTGCGGCGACGCGCCTTCGGCGGCGGATATCCGCTGCAGACTGTTCCCACTGGACACAGTAACCCGGGCAGCTCGCTGGCGCTGTCTGCTATGCTAATATATATGAATCTTCTTTTATTCGTGTAGTCGATCTCACAATGTATGGGTGTACGTGGGTAGCGTCAACAGTTCGATACGCCGAGGAATCTGCTTACATATTTCCACCAGAGAATAAGCACGAAAAACATTGTTTAGTCAGAGGCTTTCGAAAATGAAAAGTCGCAACCCATTCGTACATGCTGTTATATAATTGAATAACTTTTTGTTATTTACAACCATTATTAACCATTATGTCCGCAGGGGTTCTAAGTTGGGTTGTGCTGATCAATTAAATGTCATAACGTAACAGTTTTTCCCGCATGCTTATTATCTTATTGAGACTGATTTTCTAAATATTGATATTGTGTGCAAGTGTTATTGTCGATTTTTACCCAATGTTCCTATTGTGGTCCCATTATTAGTAGTATGACTTCTACGAAGTAGTAGCGCAAAGCTCGTACGGTGGCGATTCCATCAACGGCAGCGCGCGTAGGCACCTGCGTACAGCTAAACATGTTGATTGAATTCCAGTGTAAATGCACTACGCCGATCGTGGGGCTGCTGCTCGTTGAGAGGCGTGCTAGCATAGAACCGAATCACACGTGTTGTGGCGACAGCAGTACGCGATAGGAACCAAACTGACGCCTCATCTTGTATTTAAACAATATGGCTCGGCTAGCTCATGTCCTACTGAGTCGCCTGGGGGATGTGATAGGGTGTCACATTTCGTTTGTATGATTGCGTTTCAACACTGGCATCGAAGCAGGCGACATCGTACACATGCGTGGCGTGTGGCACTGTACACGTGTGCGTGGCGTCGGCGTGCGTGTCACGTATCATTACCGTGGTCCTCCGTGCGTAGCGTGTGTACATACCACGGGCGTGCGTGCGTGCGTGTGCACGTATACGTGCGTGCGCGTGGCAGTGTGTACGTGTGCATGCGTGTGACGTACCGTGCGTGCGTGCTGGTGCATGTAACGTGGACTGTGGCACAGTGTGCGTGTGGCACGTACACCGTGCGTTGGCGTGCGTGCGTTTGTACGTACACGAGGCGCGCGTGCGTGCGTGTGCACTACACGTGCATGCGTGCTGTGCTTGCCGTGTGCGTGCGTGCCGTGTGGCACGTGCACGATACAAGTGGCGTGCGTGTGCACCGTACAGCGTGCGGTGCGTGTGGCACGTACAACGGCTTAACTACGAACTCGCTTATAACGAAAACAATGCGCAAGTCTATGAAAAAAGAAGCGTCAAAGGCGCCGGCCTGTCTGTGTAGTATGGTAATTATTTATTTATTTTTAGTTGATTAGTATTTTATGTTTTCTCAATAAAATAATGTATGCTGGCGGTATGCCATGGAAAACCTGCGGAAATTTCGAGTGGTTTTACGGCACCGTCGTCGCTCCGTGTAAAGTTACGCAACAGGTTTACGTAAATTTTAGCTTGATGAATCGCTTCGCTTGATGAACGGCCTCGCTTGCGTACGCGAAATCGTACGCAAATTTACTAAATAGCTGTGTTGATGAATCGCAACTAAGCAACGTGACGTCGATTGCGTACACAAGATTTACGCAAAATATTTTGCATACGCAGCTTGATGAATCTACCCCCAGGGCCAGTCCTTATTCATTCACATACCAAAAATGAGCAAAATGCGTTGAACCTGAACTGACTAATGGCAATTCCCATTTTTGCCAAAAAATTGCCGTGGCTCGAAAGTACGTCGACTGGCGTGCTTCAAAATAGGACGTTTAATATGGGAGCATAGCAGTAACAACTATACCCAATTTCAAACATGTGGGCCAAACGGTTCCTGAGTTATCGTTGACCGTAGCGAAATGTTGACGGACGGACGGACGGATGGACGAACGTACGACGGACGACGACCCATGGCAATAGCTCAGCTTGACGATGTCAAGGTGAGCTAAAAAATCTGCTGCCGATTACTTGGGTATACCTGCGTATCTCTGGAGTATTTTACTTTGCCAGTATTGGGTCGAAGCTCCCTGTTAGTCTGTGCCGACGCGGTAAGAAACTTAACACCCGTCTCCCGATGTTTGAAACCACCAAGGTATTGATTCCTCTGCTGTCGGGACCTGTCGATGTCTACCTTGATGAGCTTAATTTTACCATCAGCTGCAACACAAAATATTCTTACGCTAAATGCCGAGATAAATCTGCTGGAGAGCTTAGTGAGATTTGAATGTCACCTTCAGCAGAATTCTTCTCAAGTTTAACAGGAGGTTAATTTCACCGAAAGCTTGCATAATAAATAGCTTTCACAAAAACGACAGATAAGATGTGGAATTAGGACTCAGTTACTTCACTGCTGAGTTCGCTTACGCATCTCGACCCTGACAATGATCTCTTCGGACATGCCAAACATCTGCTCTTTGCTGCTCTCCATCATGGGCCTGTTGCACGTGATCTCGCTTGAGTGTGGCCGCGACCGCATGTGCATGGGACCTGAGCCGCTAGTGCTGCCCATATTTGCCAGCGTCGGTGTAGGCACGATGAAATGTCCTGCATGTGTAAGCAGCACGTTAGGGACAGTGTCATGCCGCGTTACGTTCCAATATTTAATTGTCAGGACCCCCTAAAGTTGATGGTGACAAGTGAAGAAAAGCAGATAAACAGAAGGTGCACACACACAAGCACATGCTCACACACAAAAATATTATACATGTATATACTATACATATATATACACGCATGAACGTAAGCACATGCACGCACGCACGCATGCACGCACGCACGCACGCACAGACACACACAGAGAGAGAGAGAAAGAGAGAGAGAGAGAGAGAGAGAGAGAGAGAGAGAGAGAGAGAGAGAGAGAGAGAGAGAGAGAGAGAGAGAGAGAGAGAGAGAGAGAGAGAGAGAGAGAGAGAGAGAGGAGAGAGAGAGATGGAGAGAGAGGAGCAGAGAGAGAGAGAGAGAGAAAGAGAGAGAGAGAGAGAGAGAGAGAGAGAGAGAGAGAGAGAGAGAGAGAAAGAGAGCGATGGTGAGAGCACGCAGATATATAGTAGCAACTCTACTTGAGGGAAGATTTTACTCTGTTTTAGAAATAATACCTTTGAGTTCAGCATCGCTGTCATTCTTCTCTTCGTCCAATCTCGCTGCTACTTCTGCTGCATAGGTGTCTGTCACTGTGCCAAATTTGTCAGTCACATTTAACGTGCCATCACTGACACTCGCTGCCTGTGTCCCAGAGACCCTGGAGTTCTCCATCACACAATCACTAGCAGTAGCAGTTGAGCCAGCACTCTGCTCGAATCCATTTTGCACCTGTGTGGCCGCCTCTACTTTTGGCTCATCACAATCTTGTGTTTGTGACGTTTGAGTACTTGACTCTTGTGGGTGCTTATTACCATTGGCATCAGTGATATCAGTTTCGATAGCAGTATGCTGCTGTTGTTGTTGCCTACCAATAACAGCAGCTGACAGTTCTTCCCCTTTTTCATTCGCTTCTGAAGTGTGGTTAACAGCAGCAGAGGTGATCTCTGGATCATTTTCCATTGTTAATGCCAATAACAGTTCTAATAACGGAAATTTAATGTAACCCTTTTAGTACCCTTACTACATAGTACGGTACAAATATTTTCAGAAATTAGTGTATAAAATTAATAGATGATGTAATACCCATCTTTCATTTTTAGCCCTATTTCAGATAATTTTAGCTTTCTTTGCAGTGCACAACCTACCAAATATTATTGTTGAATAGATATAATCCTAACTGAAAAGATGTTGGCATTAAGGAGTGAAGCCATTGCTTCTTCAGTGTGCCCGCCTCCAACACCACGGCGATGATGAAAGTAAAATGTTCATTAACCTCATAAATAACCTCATAAATAGTAGTCTTCAAAATTCAAGGGAATATATCGAAGGCAGAAAGAGACAAAAAGTTAATAAAATATACAGATCAACACTGCAGATCATGGTAGAAAAAACCTCAAATTTGCAATTAACTAAAGAGGAAGGGAGGGAATTCCAATACGGAATGACAGAAACAAAGAAGCTAAACTTAAGGATACAGTCAAGCTTTTTATACAAAATTAGCCGATTTTTCATTTTCATTCGTATTCGATGGCTAACACTAGGTGCCACTTCTGTACGTACTCATTTCTCCATATAACGATGCATGTGAACTTTCAGAGTGTTTTGATTGCCCGAGTACATGTGTAGTGAGCCGCGGCTGACGTCACGGATGACATCAGAGCAGTGATACAACCAGCATTTTGACAGTATTCACTATGCCAGTATCCATCACCAATGATGCTAATTTAGCCTAAATTTTACCATAAAAGTTAAAACAGTGTCAAATTATAATTTTTTTTAGGGCACACTTTATTGGGCTAACCTGACCAGGCTCTTTGACTGTTTCACGTAGTAGTAGGGCTCATAGGGTCTATGTCCCCCAGGGTACTGCCGGAACGTACCCTGGGTACGGTCCGGTAACGTACCCTGGTAACTATCTGATATGGTTAGGGTTAGGGTTAGGGTTAGGGTTAGGGTTGGGTTAGGGTTAAGGTTAGGGTTAGGGAGTAGGCGTAGGCGACTCCCTAGACTCGTTAGTGGAGTAGACGAGGTACGGTCCGGCATATTAGATATAGTACCAGGTAACCAGGGTACGTTCCGGCAGTACCCTGGGGGACATAGACCCTCTCAGCATAGCAGGTCATGTAGACTGTAGTGAGAAGCGAGAAGGAGAAACTTCAAGGTAACTTCAAGTTCAACAAGTGGCTTTAATAATTAATTTAATAGCTCTAGAACTAGTAGTAGTAGTAGCGCTGAGAGGGTCTATGTCTCTTCGGGTACTGCCAGAACGTACCCTGGTACTATCTAATATGCCGGACTGTACCTCGCCTACTCCACTAACGAGTCTAGGGAGTCGCCTACCGCCTACGCCTACTCCCTAACCCTCACCGGGTAACCCTAACCCTAACCATATCAGATAGTTACCAGGGTATGTTCCGATATATCCAGGGCCTGACATTAAGGACTGCCCGATTGCCCGGGGCAAGTGGAATGGACATTCGGGCAAGTGCAACGTGAGTATAATAATTAACTTGCCCGAACGGGCAAGTGAAAAATTCTAAATGCATCAACAGTAAAAAGTCCAGTCGATCTCCTGTGTATGTTATTCTGTTTATTATTTGTGAGTTTTTCAATAATCACATATATATACTAGTTGCAAAAATAAAGTATAACGGTAGCTTACGTGTGGGGAATACATATTGGGCTGTAGTACATACGCACTTGAAACAGTGTATTACGGCTAGCGCAAATAGTGGAGTGTCTGTCTGTACGAGCGAGGAGGATCGATTGTTTATAGAATGTGAACCACGAGTGTGAAGCGCAGTCTCTTGCGGCCGGGGTCCAGGGCCCGCGTAAGGGCCCTGGAAGCTCAGGGGGTTTGAGCTTTCGCGAGGCACGCGTGTATGGCTGTGCACATCGACGCTGCATACGTGCCTGCTGGCAGGGGCGGCATTGATTGAAGTACGGGGGGGGGGAGGCGCACGATTGTTTCAGCATAGTACTAATCACTACTAAAATGTAGGGGGTGGGCATTGCTGGACTATGAGAGAGCGACTGCAAAACTCTTTCCTGGAATTGAGGAAAAAGCTACAACCGGGAATGACACACGAGTGTGCCAGCACGCAAAAATAAACGTGTGAATTTCTATTTTCAATTTTAATTTCAAATTTCAATTTCAATTTCAAATTTCAAAGGCAGCGCCAACCAAAATTTGCCACACAAGCCCCACCCCAGGATCAAGTTGAGAATCTGGATTACCAGGAAGGGGAGGATAGACTCCTCGACTTTATCTTAATCTTAAGTACTATAATTTGGCAAATGTTGTATGTATGTTAATGAAAGGCTCCGTCAGTTTGGATCCAAATAGCGCCAAATTTACAGAAGAGATCGATGTGTACACGGGACGGGTTCTAAACTATATTCGGTTGAAAACCGTTTGTTCGGTCTTAAAAAAGAAAAAAAAAACACAAAAAAGGTAAACATTTGCCTGAAAATAAGGGGCGCTGATTTGTTTTCGTTCTGTTTGTATTTCGTTTTGTTTCAACAGGTTTCAATTTCGTGTTGTTCTGTGTATCTCTGTTCTGTGTCTGTGTGTCTGAGATTTGTGTAAGCCCCATAATGTAAGTAGAAATAACCATGTAATAATGAAGTTAAATATTCAGTAGCTATTTGGCCATAGTTTCCCATATGAGATGTACAAGTTGAATTTCATCAGAGCAGATTTTTTTTTTGGAAATCTCCAATGCTGTACAGTGTACGGGTGTCGTGAACACCGATCTGTCACAAGCGGTCCGATCACAAGCACGTAATATTACGTCGTCCGCACAGAGTGCAAACATGCGTAGAAATAAGCGATCACAACCACGCAATATTAGCTGGTCCGCACACAGTGGAAACATGCGAAGCACGTAATATTACGTTTATGTTATACCCATTCACATCTATCTATATTCTAACTTTGGAGTCCGTATCATCAACCAGTACATAGCATACAATAAACGCTGTGGCTATATGCCCGGCAGCCGGGCACGGTCTTCGTTTTCCTAAATGCCCGGCAGTTCTTAACCCTAACTCTAACCCTAACCCCACTGGCGTAGCTAAGGGGGGGCACAAGGGGGCCATGGCCCCCCCTGTTGATTGGCAAACAAACAAACAAAATTTCCCTTGCCTCTCACGCGTCTTCACAGGACTGTCCACAATTCCTTTTACTTCTGCATCTGCTGAACGAACATTCTCTAAAATAAGCATTGTCAAGTCTAAACTTCGTTCTACAATGACCCAGCCACGATTCTCTGCTCTCATTCTCCTTTTCGTTGAACAGGAGTTAGTGAATGACAATAATGTCAACGAAATCCTCAAAATGTTCTGTGCAAAATCGACGAGAAGACTTGACTTTGGAATTTGAGATTTCTGCAGCAGACAAAAACATGACTAAAAGAAAGGAGATAATTCTTCTTTGCTCAGATTTGTGCTGTTGCAAGTTGGCTTTGATTGAATTTTATAGTTCTGAACTCTTATTGACAGAAGAAAAGAAATGGAAATGCAAAAACAATTCTTTTCATGGTAAATTTCGTTTTTATTTTAATAGAGCGGCTATTTTTGCAGCCACCTTTGTTTTTATTTGAAATCAAATTTCAATATGATTTTTAGTTCTTCATCAGAGGAAAGCAAAAACATTTTTTATAACGAACAAAATGTTAAATGTGATCTTTAACGCTATTGTATTCTAAACGATGTAAATCTTTTGTAATTTAAATAAATTGCATGTTTATTCAGTGCAGTTCCAACACATCTACCTGTTTTTCCCGTAGATCTTTATTTCGATTTCATTCAATATGCCTCTACTTTAAAAAAAAAAATAATTTAAGCTTTTAACTTTTATATGAGAACTTGAAAAACAGTTTGATGACGGATAATTGCACAGATTGCAATGGTAGTCTGCTAACCAACACAAGAGGACAATAGGCGTCAGCTATAGGGGGGGGGGCGCACAAGAGGTCCATAACCCCCTCTTGATCGAGAGTACAAAAATTAAGAGAGAGGGCCGCTGAAATGGGACCTTGATCTAATACCAGATATTACCTACACCTAATAATGAAATGAAATGTGAAAAACTGCCCATGTTCTGAGGATGCCATATTTTTCATGTAAAAAAAAAATTACGCCTGACTAAGTGGGCAGGGGAACACCCCTCGCCCCGTTGAGAATAGCCTTCATCAACTGTCTTGGTCGCTTTAACTCTTTTCTTCCCTTGCCCTGAAAAACACTGGTTTCTAGTACACCATTTTTCAAGCTGGCTACCTTTGCTTAGGTCCACACTGGTCGTGTGTACCCTCAGAGCCTCCGGCGCACAGCCAGGGGCCATCGTCCCACGTTGATCGGAGTTGGAGTGAAAAAATAAAAAGCCGGGAGGGGGGTTATAAGTGATTCAGGCATATGCAACTTCTCTCATATAAGATTTACCGCCTAATAACTGAATTTTAAGTGTGGAGAAAATCCATTTGTCATGCAGCGAAATTTTCAAAAATTCCCTACCGAAGAAAGAGGCAGGAATCGCACCCCCCCCCCAACAACAGCACGAAGACATTTCCGACTGAGAGGCAGAAGCAACGTGGGAGGGGGGATACCCCTCCCAACCAACTCCCCCTCCGTCGCTTCGCTCTCTCACATTGCCCACCCCCCCCTGCTTTCAATTGCCTCGGAACCTACGCCACTGCTAACCCTAACAACAAAAACCGCTAACTCTAGCCTAAACCTAACGTACCCTAACCCTAAAACTAATCCCATACTCTAACCTAACCCTTGTTTACTTGACGATAATTTAGCTAAATTAAAAACTGCCGGACGGGGCAATCTTAGCGAAGATCGAAGAACCGGTGCGCCCGGGCAGCCGTCAGATATACGCACGGCTGCCCAGGGCATATAGCCAATCTGTACATAAAGACAATTTCTGTGTTGGTCTGGTGTGTATACTTCCATTATGCTAGCTTGCCAAACAAACTGGTTAATGTGTTAACGTGTAAGCATGAACTGCCACATGTTATTTGTATCTGACACTCTCAACCATAAAAAACAAACATGTGCAACAACTAAACTCTCCATATAACACCTTACACATAACACTACTGCACTGGTAACAATGCATATGCATCACACTCACAGTCACTAACTTGACTAAGCCCGCGCGTACTAAGTATGCCGTACGACTAATAGTAGTAATACTCTAAGTCTAAGACACTGCCCTGGCACAGGCAGTGTCCTGCAACGCAAGTTACTTATTCCCCGGGCATCTTTTCAATAGAACAAATTATATACACTAATATTAATAATAACTTCATTTCCGTGTAAACGATACGACCATCATTTACTTACTTTGACATGACATCGTGTCGCCGTTGGTTGCTGTAGCAACCAGGGTCCGTCTAATTACCGAAAGGCACCGAAAAGCACCGGAAAACACCGTAAAGCACCGAAAGGCACCTAAAAAACACCGAAAGGCGCAATGAGAACATCGAATTCTACCGGAAGACAAGAAAAAAGCAGTCCGGAGCTGAAATGTCAAAAATTTCCACCGAAATGCCCTAAAAATGACTGAACTCGGCCTGAAATGAGGTACACAAATAATTAATTCGCAGCCAATGTTTACATGCCACAGCGCCATCTCTTGGATGTTTTGTAAGTAAATATGGGAATTTTCAATAAAATAATGCGTTTTTAATGTATTTACCACGATTTACGTATAGAAACTATATCTTATTTTTACTGATTTCTCCGTATGTTTCCTTGAATTTTTCATTGTCTTTCAATGCCTTTCGGTAAATTTTTTTGCGTTTAGGTACCTTTTGGTAATTAACCATATATGCTGTCTAAACACTAAAAGGCACAAAAGGCAGGGTAAAAAATACCGAAATGCCTCTTAATTAATTACGCGTATACCCGCGTATGTAGACTGTTACTGAAAGCAGTCCTCTCTGGGCTCGGCCATGTTATGCTAAGCACGAATAAATGTTGTTTACCCAATTATGTCTGGACATCCGATACTTTACATGGTGGCAGCGGTAAAAGTCATCGCAGTGTTGAAATAACACTCCGGTGAACATCTGTATGACATTGACAGTGTGTTGGCCAGCGCTAGGAGCGAGAATTTCGGATTTGTCTGCACCGACCTCATTGCCACGATTGATCGCGGCAGTATGCGACATCGGCATCACCCGGTGGAATGCATATATGTGCGCGTCGTGCACTATAGGCCTACTAGAGGACAAGTAATAGTAATACAGTGCACCAGATAGCTTGCGTATTTGCGTAAATACGCATGAATTTCATACAAATACGCATGTAATTTTCAAAGGTATGCGTATAGATACGCTTGTGTTTTTTTAAATACGCACATGAGAAAACAAACCGATCGTATCAGTACGCTTAGGGTCTCTAAGTACGCTAACCTTCCATCTACTCCCGTATCGGCTCGACTCTCTCGCTAATAGACTGGTAGCTTGGTCGCGGTGCCCCACTCATTAAGTTCGCTATGGCTGCTGTGTGTCAGTACGTGAACCAGTCTATCTACTATCTATCGTGACTAGTTCCTGTGTGTAGTTTATTTTACAAAGCTCTGAAGTTAGAATTGGTGTTGCGACTGGAACGCAGTCTATACTCCGGCCTTCCCGGAATTAATTCCAAATAAGGAAAGTCGAACGTGTGTGATCTAAGCTTGTTGACTATTGGTCCATTATATTTGATTCGCCAATTAGAATTCAGTTTACTCCGCGGTAATAAAAACGCACGTTGCCGTAGTCTGCAGAAACAAACATGAAGTATACACGTCGCGCTGCCGAACAGTGTCAGAGCATTTTAAAATATATGAATCCTACAAGACCAAGGAATGTTTCGTCAGTGGAAGATATAGTTTCACCTATAAGTATAATCTCGCTAGTTGTTGAAAACTGTCTGGACATTGTCGCTACCAAGGCTAAGATTAGTAAGAAGAAACACGATGGTAGTTTTGTTAGCGAGGAGACAGTAGCAAAATGGAAGTTGGCACTTAATCTGCGTAACCTGACATGGAGTTTGGACACCTCCCAAAGAACGGCAGAGTCTTTGGGTGGTGTACAATCACTATGTCAAGTTTTGTGTGAGTACCTCTTAAACTAATGAGGTTGTAAAGGCAAAATATGTTAATATTCTGGTCGATACTCATACTAAGAAAATATGATGAGTACTGCCAACAAGGAGTACTCATAAGGATCTTGCCGATACTCATACATAAAAAAATGGTGAGTAAATACTCATCAACGCCAAAAATTATCTGGAGCACTGTAATACTCGGGTGTACACGCATCCGGAGTATACATTACACGCAGTGTTTGAGTCTGCTGCAGTAGCAATTACTGGACAGTGTGGTGAGTGGAAACTAGACAGTATCCTGTCATTGGCAGTAATACACGTACTTGTACGGTGTGTCGATACCCAGTGTATGGTACAGTAGGCCTTATATACACGTACCATCATGGGTGAACTGTCAGGTTTAACGCCACCTCGTATGGACTGGTCCAGCACGGGTCTTCCAACAGCTTTCCAAGAATTCAAACAGTATTGTTCACTAATCTTCGCCGGACCACTTTATGAGAAGTCGGAGGAGGAGCAAGCTAATTATGTACTGATATGGGTAGGTCAGGAGGGATTACAGATATTCAACTGCTGGAATATTAAAGCAGATAAACCAGCCACATTATGGGACAAGTTTGAGAAACACCTTGAGCCCCAGTCAAATTTTCGGCTGCACAGATATCAGTTACAGAAACTGCACCAGTCAGAAGGGAAGACAATCGATAAATTTATGGCTAGGTGTAAGCTTCAAGCAAAGAAGTGCAAGTTCCGTGATGATCAGGAAACGAACGAGAGATTAATTGAACAGTTAATCATCGGGACTGTACACAAGAAGGTCCAGGAAATTCTCTTAGGCAAAGATGGGAAGCTAACACTTGAAGAAGCGCTAGACATTGTCGGAACGCGTGAAGCGACTGATGCTCAGATGAAACAGTTGGCTGGTGGCGCCAGCAGAGGCACGGTTCACCAAGTTAACAAGGCATATAAAAGCAGACAACAGTCGTATCCAATTAATGTGTTAGTACTGTGGGGGAAAACACCAACCGAAACCCATGGAGAAATGTCCAGCCTATGGGACAGAGTGTGACTTGTGTGGTAAATTGAACCACTGGAAAAAGATGTGCATGTCCACACGGGTTAGGGACAGAAACCCAAGGTCAAGGTCACAGTTCCATAGAGGTCAGAGCAGGAATAACAGAGGCAGGTCAGCCTCACGTGGGAGAAGGCACCAAGTTCACGAGGTACATCGTGGTGACAGAGACAGACAGGCAGCCGCGAACTCTCTAAATGAAAGTTTTGAGAATCTTTCATTTGAATCCGTGCATTCCAACAACCCCCGAGACAGGAGGGACATAATATTTGCTACAGTTGACATTATACTGGAGAACAAACCGCAGACTCCAGCGACCTTGAAGGTCAAGGTCGATACAGGGGCCCAAGGAAATCTGCTCCCACTGAGAATATACAGACGCATGTATCCAGAGCGACTAGACGGCGAGGGATTTCCTAAGAAAGGTGCCACGAGAACAGACCATGATACCTTCTTGACAGGCTACAACGGCTCCCGTATTGCACAATATGGGTCGACGTCCATGCCTTGTAGGTATCGGGAAAGGCGTGCGATGCAGAATTCTATGTCACGGAATCAGGAGGGCCGGCTCTGATGGGTCTGCCCACCTCACGTGACTTACATCAGGTATCATTGAACTGTGCTGTCAACAAACACGTGAACAGTGAAACTCCTCACATGACTGCAAAGGAGGACTTGGTCCGAATGTATCCAGACAGGTTTGAAGGTATTGGTCACTTCAAGGGAACATTTCACATAACTGTAGACCCGTCCGTCCCGCCAGTGCTGCACGCCCCATGACGATGTCCGATTCACCTGCGAGATGAGCTCAAGAAGGAACTTGACGGTATGGTGAAGTCAGGAGTCATCACTAAGGTCACTGAGTCTACAGACTGGGTCAGTAGTCTGGCGTACAGTCGGAAGTCAAACGGCAAACTCAGGGTGTGTCTTGATCCGAAGGACCTTAACAAGGCGATAAAACGCCCGCACTATAAGACGCCAACACTTGAAGAGATTACCCACAAATTTGCGGGAGCAACCATTTTCTCCAAGTTGGACACTCGCCACGGATATTGGTCAATAGAACTTGACAGCGAATCAAGTCGCCTGACGACATTTAACAGCCCATTTGGTCGATTTTGCTTCCAGAGGTTGCCATTTGGCCTGAATGTCAGCCGAATGGACAACATATTGGAGCAGTGTCCGGGCACGGCTGGAATAGCGGATGACGTCGCTGTATTCGGGAAAGACCAAGCTGATCATGACGCCAATCTGCACAACGTCATGAGGGTAGCACAGGAGAACGGACTCGTATTCAACCCTGACAAGTGCGAGATAAACAAACCGTCCATGAAATTCTTTGGCATGGTCTATGATGCCAATGGAGTGCACCCCGACCCTGACAAGGTCAAGGCGATCAGAGAGATGGAATACCCGAAGAATGCAAAACAGTTGCAAGAGTTTCTCGAAATGGTGACATACCTATCACCGTTCCTGCCTCATGCATCCCAGCACACAGCGCCACTGCGAGAGCTGATGAAGAAGGGTGTTGTCTTCGAATGGACTCCCTCCCACCAATCAGCATATGACAAGCTGATTACGCTCATCTGTCGAGAGGTAACTCTCAGCTATTTTGACCCGCAGCAGCCATCTATCCTGCAAGTTGACGCGTCAAGCAAAGGTCTAGGAGCTGTTCTGATCCAAAACAACAAGCCGATCGCTTTCGCATCCAAAACCTTGAGTGATTGTGAGCAGCGATATGCCAATATAGAGCATGAACTTTTGGCGGTGGTTTTTGGATCGAGAATTCGCATACTTATTTGTATGGGAAGCAGTTTATTGTGGAAATCGGACCTACAAGCGCTCGAACTGATACATCTCAAGAAGCATTTGTCAGCTGCCTCAGCGACTAAGCGGCATGTTACTGCGATCCAGACCTATGGACGTGAAGATAAGTGTAACAAGCCGGGACGAAGGAGTATTGATTGGCAATGCTCTGCTCCGATCTCCATGCGAGGAGAGAACAGACACTACTGCGCATAGATGTCCAGTTGAACTTGTGCAATCTCAGTCAGCACAGAAAGCAAGTATGTTCGCGAATCGACCCAAGGCTGATGCCGTACACTTCATGCTCTGAAAGAAGAGTGATCGTGCAGTGGAGTGGGCCGACCGACGGAAGCGAGCTACCCACCTGCACTACGCCAGTTTTAGGGATACATAGACTGAACTTATCTGTCGCACGATGGTATCGTGCATGAAGGGAGAAACGTGTCGATGAT